ACATTAATTGGACTATGCTTCAATGTAGTGCACTAATCATTCCATTAATTGGACTATGCTACAATGTAATACACTGTAATCATTACATTAATTGGAATATGCTACAATGTAACACACTGTAATCATTCCTTTAATTGGACTATACTATAATGTAATACACTGTAATCATTACATTAATTGGACTATGCTACAATGTAATACACTGTCATCATTCCATTAATTGGACTATGCTACAATGTAATACACTGTTACCATTCCATTAATTGGACTATGCTACAATGTAATACACTGTTACCATTCCATTAATTGGACTATACTACAATGTAATACACTGTAATCATTCCATTAATTGGACTATGTTACAATGTAATACACTGTAATCATGACATTAATTGGACTATGCTACAAATGTAATACACTGTGATCATTCCATTAATTAGACTATGCTACAATGTAACATACTGTAATCATTACATTGATTGTACTATGCTAGTATAATGTAACACACTGTAATCCTAAAAATGAATACCCTATTTCCTGTCTGCATTTAGAGGTGTTTTAGGTAGTGCCAGCTTACACTCCAAGCACACCAAGTCCATTGTGAGACCCACTACCAGTACGTCACACTCCAAGCACACCAAGTCCACTGTGAGACCAACTACCAGTATGTCACACTCCAAGCACACCAAGTCCACTGTGAGACCCACTATCAGTACGTCACACTCCAAGTACACCAAGTTTCAAGAAATTTCTGGACATCTCATTCACTGGCAGAGTTAGGTCAATGAGGCATGTGACAAACACTTGTAAATTGATTTCGTTGAGTTCACTTCACTTTTATTTCACTAAATTTTTCCTTTTAACAAGATAATATAGTTTTTTTTTATGGTGGTTGAATTGATCATAAAACATGAATTTCAGTTCATGTGAAGACAGGTGAATTCTAGTATCATGTCATACACTTTATGCTTTAATAGGAAACAAATTCCACAGACTTGAATATCATGGTTGTCATGACAACAAATCAACAAATCAATCATTGGAGAGCACTCAAATGATGCAATAGGTAAATATAGTGAAATCTTACCAAGATTCTCAGTGGATGAGATGCAGATAACTCTTTAGTTGCTACTTCGTATGCTTGCTGGTAACTCCTCTCAGCTTTCAGAATGTTAGACAGAGTTTCATCTTTTTTTGCACCATCCAATAACTGTTTTATCTGTTCTTCTCCACTCAGCTATAGAGGAAATGTCAAATTTAGGGAAAGGTGCTAAACAATGGACTGCATGGAAACTGCCATAAATTATTATTGTTGAATTGCACAATTTTGAAATATAGAAAACAAACTGATCACAAAAGACCATTCAACCAGATGAATTATTAGATAAATCACATTTCAGGAGTGAACATTTCAAAAGGGTCCTTTAAGGTGGTCATGACTTGTTCTAATTGTGAATGTTCTTCATGACACCTAAGTATCACACATTCTGGTACTATTGTTGCTATGACTACATCATAAACAACACAGTTTGGGCATTTTAATGTATAATTTTCTTTCTAACAGGAAAGTTGTATTTAAGTGGCTGAAACTAATTGCCAAGTCTAGGAAACTGTGCTGAAATTCATTTTTGATTTTAATACCAATAAAAGTATGTGACCTTCATGAAAATGACTATAATAATAAAACATTGACAGTGATATTTCAAGGTCAGTGCATTAATGCACTGCATACAATTATCAGATATTTGGGATTTATAAAATTGAAAGCAAAACTTCATTTTATTTCAACTCTGTTCTTACCTTAATTTCTTTATCTTTCTTCCCTTCTTCCCATCCTACATACATAAGGATGTCAACATCCTCCTTAGCAACCAATTCTTCAATGCTGGGACCTTGTGGGCTGAGATCTTCCTCCTGATAAAGCAAATTATTTATAAAGTGAGTTTATACTTTGAACTTCTGAAATCCCACAATGCATTATTCTAAGCCATTATCACACAATGCAATCTTTCAAGACCCACAATGCACCAGAAAGCTATAATCCTGTAATGCATCCTTCTAGGAAGCCCACAATGCACCAGAAGGATATCATCCCAAAAAGCATCCTTCCAACCAAATTAACTCAATAAAACATACCTTTTCTCTCTTTTCAATGGCCACAAAACTTGTAAACTGTGTGACAATAGAGAACTCTTTACTAATGTTGATAATGTAATCTTTCTGTTCAGTTTTCTTCACCTCATGCTCAGTCCGATCTATGTCCAATGTCCCATCTTCCCAGTCTCTAATGATGGCACGTGCAGTCAACTGGTGAAGAATCTTGGACAAACATATATTGGAAATGAGATTAAACATCACACAGAAAAAAAATACAAACTTCACATCCATACTAACCCCCCACCCCCCACCCCCACCCTCATAAATCATAAATTGAATGGTTTGCACAAACTCCCTGATCTTGTGGCCATGTACAACTCGAAATGTAACATGTATATGTTTGAACTTTTGTGAAACATTGCAATAGTTCATTCATTATTGGTCACAAAATCTACTGAGAGAGTAATTTTCCTCAGTAAATTTTAAATTTCAAAAAATTGAACTAATAATGAAGTAGCTGTCTGCCAATAATTATTCATGGGTCTAGTGATTACAATGCTCATATATCATTAATTATTCATGGGTCTAGTGATTACAATGCTCATATATCATTAATTATTCATGGGTCTAGTGATTACAATGCTCATATATCATTAATTATTCAGGGGTCTAGTGATTACAATGCTCATATATCATTAATTATTCATGGGTCTAGTGATTACAATGCTCATATATCATTAATTATTCATGGGTCTAGTGATTACAATGCTCATATATCATTAATTATTCATGGGTCTAGTGATTACAATGCTCATATATCATTAATTATTCATGGGTCTAGTGATTACAATGCTCATATATCATTAATTATTCATGGGTCTAGTGATTACAATGCTCATATATCATTAATTATTCATGGGTCTAGTGATTACAATGCTCATATATCATTAATTATTCATGGGTCTAGTGATTACAATGCTCATATATCATTAATTAAACAGGGAAGAGGCTATTAATCTTATTCAGACTGCTAAAAATTGTGATAAGAGTGATTGCAAAAACTAAAGACATTTCATACCTTGCCCTCAGTGATATTGAGATCTGCAGTAGAGACCATTGTTGACACAAAGTGGTCATCTATTTCAGCTTTCAGTGTTGCCTGGCAACAAACAAACAAATAAATTGAATGAATATGTATGTTTATAGTCTGCACTTTCCTTCAGCAGTTTGTGACAAAACTTTTTTTTAGTAAAAACTAAAAATTGAATAAAATTTTGTCTGTTGGCTCCAAAATTAAGGTTCATTTCTAGAAATATTGAAGAATACAAGAAAAAAGTACAGAAAGTTTGCTGTCAAAACAGATAACAGAACATTTACCTGTGTGCAGTGCGGTACAAACCCATATACTACTTGTCTGGAACCACTGAATAATGACACAATATGACTGGGTGCCTGTACTGGTATTGGTGAATTTGAATCAAACTGCTGCCATTCCACATTGACTGAGGTCAGAACTGGCTGTGCAGCTTTGGAAATCTGTGACTTGACCTGAAAGCCAAATACTATAAGATAAGTATTGTTTTTACATTTGGAGTAATGCTCTACTAAATTTACTGACTGTAAACCATTTAATTTCCACAATTTCTGCAATATTAGGATTTTCGAGCATTTATTAAAAAACAAAATTTTGTGAAATGTCACTGATACTGTGCTTTATGGCTCGGGATCCACATGAATCACCTAACCTGCTTAGTAATTAATTTTCAGCTGAATAATATACATTTCAATGATTCTTTGTACAATCAAGTAGGTGGTCTGGGTTGCTGTGACAACATGAACTCGAATAAGTAGTTGACAAATGTAGAAAAAATTTTACTAAATAACCAAACAGGGTAGAGTTCAAAGTTGCTGAAGTTCTATCATGATGAGCCAAGAATGACAATTTTATTTCATATGATACGTTTAAATTTTATCTATCTCGGGGAAGGTATCTCATCAATTAGATCATGCACTTTTATTCGCCAACCAGTCCAATAGACCAATTTCTTATTCTTCAACTTCTGGTCTTGCTTACCTTTCTCTCCCATTTAGATTTGGTTTTACTGTCAAAATACTCATAGGCACCAGCACCAACTCTAGCCATTGACTGCAGAATATGGTGATTAGCAGTGCAACTAGAAAGGTCAAAGATCAGAATGTACAGCCATGTTATTCATCACCCTGCATGATATACTGCAAGATCTCACACAGAAGCATGATTTATAAGAATAAAGGTCTGAAACTAAATTAAACCAAACTACATGTACAGTATGCAGCATAATTATGTCATGTTTGAAGCAGAAATGTAAACATATGTATTTGTAAACAAAACATTTGCTTTTCAAATCTGGTTTCTTGGCATTTTTTGCACAACTTAAATTGCCAAGGTACAATTACTGTTGAATGTTATATTTATGTATGTTTAAATGATAGGATGTAATTTTCATTGAAATTGATGAAAACACAAACAACACAAAAATAATAAATTATAAGTCCTGAGTGATAAAGCCTTCTTAAGTGTTCTTTGTTTGCAAATTAACACTGCAACATGTACAGTTTAAAAGTTACTGTCAACTCTATTTTTTTCCTAGTACCAAATGTTTGTGAAAATTTTGAAATAAAAAAAAATACAAAATGTTATTACAGTTTATCTTTTGATTCAATTGGCAGGAAAATCATTGAGCAAGATGGCAACATTTTTTCCTAAACATATTAAACTAAATTTGTTTTAAATTAGTTTCATTGATGAAATCATACCTGACACCAAATGTGAAAACTCTGGTGTGCTGACAGTTCTTTCGAACATCCTCAATGGTGGATTCCTGGTTATTAATATGTCCATCTGATATCAAGAAGACGTTCCTTACACCTTGAGAAGGTCTGAGGCAATAGAATGAATGTAATGGTCTCCATGCTTCTGTATTGCCCATATTGGCAAAACATCTAGCTGCAAAATCTTTAGCAGCTCTCAATGTTGACTTGCTTTTAAGACGACTGCTTGGAAATAACTCATCATATGCTTGTAATGAGAAAACAAAAGAAAAGAAATATTGTTCTTTATGAAAATTGTGATCGTCAAGGTGTACACCTTTAAACCTTTTCAACTCCAGTTTCCTCTTTTCATCACATCACAAAAATAGCCAAATTTTTTGAGTAAAAACTGAACATTTACTGAAATATTGTCTGTTGACTCAAAACTATTGAAGAATATAAGAAAAAAGTGCAGAAAAAATTAGGTAAGAAAGTCTGGTGGTGAAAAGGTTAACAAAACTGATTTTGTAAGGATCCCCAATCAAAATGGAATCTCCCATAATCAAGTTAATAGTAGTCAGTTTGTTGACTGCCGAAAAGATCGGTCTTCAAAATAAAATATTATGTGACTTGAGGCACAAAGAGAAATGCTGTGGCTCCTGAACTCCTTCATTTTTACACTTATTTTGTTAGTAAAATATGAATTTCTTAAATTACAAAATTCATAACTATAGCAGGATGTTTTTCTTGATCACTATATCAATGTATAATATTCTGTTGCATCAATGACATGTCAGTGAATAAACAAAAATATATGCATCATAACACATCAGTGGCGCATCATATCATCTTGGAGGGCACACTGTGATCAAGTCAAATAATACACATCCAGAAAACCATAAACAACACATAGACCCAAGAAATTAGTTTGGTGGTTAAGTACATGACCACCTAACTTCATTATAAACATTGTTCATATTGAATTGACAGCACAGCTAAGTGATCAATTATTTTATGAGATCACATACAACCCATCCACCCTATCCACCCCAACCACCACAAACAAATTTGAAATCACTAAGAAGTATTGCTTACCTGTTCCAAATACCACAATATTAAATCTATAAGTGTCCGGTAAATTCAGAACACACAACATAATGACTTTCTGGGCTTCTAAACTACAACTTTTCATTGAGTTAGATAAATCTACTAGAAATATCACTTCACAGTCAGCTACACTATCAGCCTCAAACTCTGGATAGAATGTCAACATGCATGCCTAGAATAGAATGGAATAGAATAGAACAGTCCCAGTTTAGTTTTTAGAAATGTGTCAATTACAAACAATGAAAGTTATATGTACCGGGTAGTTCATAATTAAATGTTGGAGGAGTATTCAGTTTGTTTAAATAGCATTTTATCCAGATTTTGTTCCGGTCAAAGTAACAACGAATAAGAATAAGATTATTCTCAAATAATACAAAATTGCAAAATCAGTTTTATAATAAAATAATGACACAAAACCTCAAGTACCGGTACATTTTGTATGAATGACATTGGCCCCGCCATGCCTTGAGAAATGATTTATGACATAAGGGGCAATCACCACCAGTCAAAAGTCATCAAATTAAAATATAAGCAGCCTCTTGGTTGAGATAGCTGTTAACAATGCACATTTCAATTAAAGAACTGAAGATATCATTAGAAAATGAACAATATGTATAGTATCAAAGCAATGGGACTTACAGTTTTTAACAAGAAGTCGAAAATATCACTTTCTACCAAAAATGACCAAAATATTCACCAAATTAGAGAATTGAAGATATCATCACGAAATGAACAAATCTAAGAAAGGTCTACATGTAGTATCTATATAGTAATATCAAAGCAATTGAACTTTTGGTTTTTAACAAGTCGAAAATATCACTTTTTACCAAAAATGACAAAAATATTCACCAAAGTTAGAGCATTAAAGATATTATTACAAAATGAACAAACCTGAGAGAGGTCCACATGTAGTACCTATTTATGTAATATCAAAACAATTGGACTTGCGGTTTTCAACAAGAAGTCGAAAATATTACTTTTTACCAAAAATGACAAAAATATTCATCAAAATTAGAGAATTAAAGATATCATCACAAAATGAACAAATCTGAGAGAGGTCCACATGTAGTATCTATATATGTAATATCAAAGCAATTGGACTTGCGGTTTTTATCAACATGAATTGAACAAACCTAAGAGAGGTCTACCCAAGGTACATATACACCAAGTATCAAAGCATTCAGGTTAGTAGTTTTCAAGAAGAAGTTGAAAAAGTAAAACATTGACACGGACGACGGACAACGTCGATGGACAATCACTCATATGATAAGCTCCGCTCGACAAAATAAAATCACAAAACAAACTGATCTGAATCTGAATCACTAACCCATCATGAGTGATGTTCATATCAAGTTAGAATGAAATTGACACAGGTATTCCTGGGAAACGGTTCAAATATTGTGATTTTGTTTGTTGTTGTTCAAAAATGGAAGTCAACATTCAACTCATTATGTCTTGAATTTGTATAGATTTTGGTCAAATCTACAAAAAAATACTTAAGAAGCAGGCTGAACACTTGTAAAAAAAAAAAAAAAAATGGCCACCAGTCGGCCATAATGAATCAAATCATGATACAAAATGACAAGCATCATAGCCACCATGAGTGATGTCAATGCCAAGTTTGAATGAAATTTGTCAAGGCATGTCTGAGAAATGGTTGATGATATTCGCAACTGTTGATTTTAAGGGTTATCTGGGAAAAATGGCCAACAATTCGAAGGTGAACAAAATCAAAAAATACATGTGCATATATGTGTACCTAGTATTATGACTTAATGTCTTTAAAAAATTGATCAAGACATATCTTATAAATGATGATTGAAGTGTGCACAGAAACCAAAACGTAAGTCCCTATTTTTGACTTTGTACTAATAATACATAACGCTGTTCATCCATTTTGCACATAAGACTGAGCAGGGTGGTAATAAATAGTCGAATTTTTTCATTATTCACACTTTTTCAAACAGATTCAGGGCTTACCTAAACCATCACCATGGTGAATTAGATTTAGATTAGCCAAGTCAATGTTTCATATTCGCAAGCCATCAAATTTCTTTTTGCTTACAAAGCAATTTCAAGACATACATTGGTTATAGTTTCACATAATAGTAACAGAATATGATTTCCTTCTTACTACATTCCAGCAAATCAATCTGGTTATTACCTGACTATCTTGTTTATCTGGATGTTTTTCCACCCACATTCTTGGTACATGTATCTCTGCTAAACCAATCAGCAACTGGAAACTATCACCAAGTACAGAATCCTTCACTAATTCCACCACAGCTTTAGTTGCAGTACGCTGTAAACAGATCAATATTTAGATCACTTTTTTCAGATTTTTTGGTGCCAAGTGACTGATTTAGATAATATTAACTGTAACAGGCATTTCTGAGAAATGGTTTCAAATCGACATTCAGAAAACATTCAGACGTTGTAAACTTTAACAATGCCAAAACATTTGCATAATTTTCCAGATTTTGCAAAAAATTGATCCATACTTGTAGTTAATTGAAATTACAATATAAAATAAACAAAACATTGAAAAATTCAAAATTTTGAAATAATGTTAAAACTAAATATTGGCAGAAAATGGTGTGATTTTTAATATACAACATTACCTTGATGTTGATTTCATGTGTAGGAGATTCCAGATTCCTGATATCAAAAGGCATCTCAATTGAAGCTTGTACACTCACACTACTGTAGCATAAAATAATACACTTGTACATGTGTGAACACATTAAATCGATTTGTTACATTATCTTGTGGTTCAGTTTGCCATGCACGGAGGGTTTTGTTTGTCACATTAAAGGCCCATGTTATATGGATGGGTTTGTCAAATAAATGGCCCATGACATTGTCACAAAGACCAATGTCACACGAATGGGTCTGTCACATTAAAGACCCATGGCATACAAATGATTTGTCACAACCAATGTGTGGATAGATTAAATTTGTTTTTCATTGTCACCTCATCATGCTGTTAGATAATGCTGCAAAATACCCTTGAAATTCAAATAGAAGGTGAAATAATAATTTAAATTAGAAAATATTTTACATAAATTCAGACCATATATATTAGATTAAAGTATGAGATTGCAATATTTACCCATGACCAACTTTATCAACTTTAACAGTCTTGACATCTTTCTGTATTTCTTGAGACAATGCAGTGTCTTTGGTCCATGGTGCAACACTACCAGGAAGAAAAAACAAGATCTTTTCGCCATCCACTGACAACTCTGTGACGTAGGTTATTTTAATAAGTACACTAGCCTTAGGTGGTAGATTACCCACACTGACTGTGAATACATCCTGTAATCAAAGTATGTATATAGGTGTTACATGTATGTCGGTTAATAGTTCAAAATAATAACTTATTGACATTATGTTTTTTAATAGAACACAGTCAAATGCTATTCTAAAAAAAAGTGATTAAAAAAAAGTGTTGTTACATATATTAAAATTTTGTTTGTGTTGGCATTATGTAGGTTGTTGATGTGTCTAGCCACAGCATGTTGCACACACAGTTTTGCACCAAGCAACTAAAAATAAATAATTCCTGGCTCCAAAAATCTTAAATTTTCAAAGTAATATTTAGGATGAGCTGTTTTTATGTACGTTTTTTTTTCATACAGTGATTTCAGTGTTCCAGCTTCAGTTTTATAGACATTAAGATTGCTCTTGAATGGTGATGCAATTTACATAAAATACAATGATAAATGAATTTTGCTTCACTAAAACAAAATGGTAGACTTGATGTACTCTGAAACTGACATAATCTGAATCGAAAGTACATGATTCCCAAATCAGGGCAAGTCAAAACATTTCTATGTAAACACCAAATTGTGAACATTATTAAAGAGGCAACAGATGTGATTCAGACATTCTCTAAGACTTACTAAGCATGCTACTATTACAACCTGAATCTGAAATCTGAAAGCTTAGATACAGGCAAATACATTCATGAATCATACCAATGTTAACAAAATTACATGTTACTGATGGCCAGTATTTTTTTACACAACAAACATAATTCTATTGGTAATTGCTGATCTATCCTTGATGTAAAAAGCAAAACCACTTACAGGTGTTTCCTCATCCATCAAATATGCCCCATGTCCTTCACTAATGGCTTCTTTGTATTCTCTGTGTGCCGTCTCTTTCTCCTTGACTTCTCCTATGATATGTTTACCATTGATAAATGCTTCAAACCCTACCACAGCAGCCATGGTGTCTAATGGAAACACATACTTGGCCTCTATAGCTACACTGTTTTCATTGGTGTAAGCCTGTAATACTATAACCTTTAGAACAAAATGTAACAATAATAAATTTATTTCATCTTTAGAAATACAATGTTTCTATCAGTTAATGGCAATAGTTGTGATAACTACTGTAAAAGGAAAGAAAGTTGGTAATGGGTTGAAGCAAGTGTGACATTTCACATTGCATTTATTTTTCTTGATTTAAATGTGTTATGATTATAGTTGCCTATCTTTTTTATTCATATGATACTCGTGTTGAGCGTCATAACTTTATATGTGCGATGGTCATATGTCACTGAGATGCTAATTTTAACCAACTTGATTGACACTACATGTAACTATCATAAGTGTCATTGATTTTTTCTAGAAGACTACAAACTATCACTGATGATGCATGTCTGTTTACCTGCGCTACAAGGTCCATAATTCGTGCCCTAACATTGACAGATTTCAAAGGTACTGGGCTGTCACTCGTTGATACCAAACCTGGTTTCACTTTGCTCATTGGATCAGAAATGCAATGTACATCATTCAATTCAACTAAAATGGAAAAAACAACAATCAACAATGATGATGGAGACATAAGTATAAGTGCTGGTAACCATGGTGATAATGGAAAGACTATGCAGGTGATTTTTCAGCTCAGGGACAAAACTAAATGCATTGGTAATCCGTTCTTGTTTCATTTTGTGTTTAACACCGTGCAGTGATGATGAAGAGACTGGGATTTAATGAAATCAGATCAAGGCATGTCTGAGAAATAGTCTACAAACAATCTAGAAATAACTATTAAGTTTTGCTAAATCCATCAAAGCCTGACAAGAAACTACACAAGATGGATGAAATCCAAACTATAATATGTGTTTAATAAAGTATGTTAGAGGGTTTCAGTCGGTCCCCTGTGATATCGCCCTCGTAGTTCTAGATGGGTTTGTGTGATATAGCGCTCTCATAGTCCTAGGTCGGTTGACGAATTGTTTGTTTATTAACATGTGCAACCCAACTATTAATCACACTTTCTATCCAAATAGTAATCTGAAAATATTGTGAAATATTTGCAAAATTTACTGGGGAAAAAATATAAAGATGAAAGCTTATAAAAGTACTAGAACTAAAAATAAAAGTGAACATACAAACAAGATCATTTACGACATCACTGAGATCTTCAGTACTATCATCACTTGAAGAGAAATCAGAACTGCTGTCATCACTTGAGGATTCTGATGAGGAGTCATCAGTTACTCCAAAAGTAACTGATCTGCTAGATAATGATTTCACAGTGTCGCTGGGAAGAGTGAACTCAACCAGATAGCGGATCCTTTGTTGATTCGTGTTGTATACCACATATTCATCATCCTTTTTGCAAAAATACAAACATTATGTAAATTTGACGTTCGGCCATGTTGTCTGAAACTGTATTAAAATCACTGAAATCGATCAGTACAATAGTTTCAATAAATACTACATCTGATGCTTATATACATCACAAAAAGTCATTGCATAGCATAATTGACTTATCATTTCTTGTAGGATGGTTTGTGACACGTCTACTATCACCAACACACCTAAGCAAAAGACGATAGCCCAACAGATATATAATATTGAATTTTATTCAGCATCTAGGACTCTCTAATCTTTACTTAAAGGGCGATGGTCGTTGTGCTGCGCATGTGAGACATTTGTGTTGATAAACATAGATTTTCCCACAATCCAATGCGCTCTTCTAATAGAAATCTCAAGTATGAAGTTTGACCTGGGTGCGGCTTGCACCAATTACCGCCGGTGACCCCTTCAATACCCCAATCACCTAAAAATATCTAATTAAAGTAACTGCTCAGTTTGTACTCGTTGATCTGCACAACAGTAAAAGTCACCATCTTTGTTTATACGAGATCCATATATCTTGTACATGCGTGGCATGATGACTACCAGCCTTTAAAATCTGATATTTGGGATCTGAGCCCCTATTTTAACCATTAAATCTTATATTTGTGATCTGAGCCCCTAATTTAACCATAAAATCTGATATTTGTGATCTGAGCCCCTAATTAACCATAAAATTTGATATTTGTGATCTGAGCCCCTAATTTAACCATAAAATCTGATATTTGTGATCTGACCCTAATTTAACCATAAAATCTGATATTTGTGATCTGAGCCCCTAATTTAACCATAAAATCTGATATTTGTGACTGAGCCCCTAAATTTAACCATAAAATCTGATATTTGTGATCTGAGCCCCTAATTTAACCATAAAATCTGATATTTGTGATCTGAACCCCTAATTTAACCATAAAATCTGATATTTGTGACTGAGCCCCTAATTTAACCATAAAATTTGATATTTGTGATCTGAACCCCTAATTGAACCATAAAATCTGATATTTGTGATCTGAGCCCCTAATTTAACCATAAAATCTGATATTTGTGATCTGAGCCCCTAATTTAACCATAAAATCTGATATTTGTGATCTGACCCCTAATTTAACCATAAAATCTGATATTTGTGATCTGAGCCCCTAATTTAACCATAAAATCTGATATTTGTGATCTGAACCCCTAATTTAACCACAAAATTTGATATTTGTGATCTGAGCCCCTAATTTAACCATAAAATCTGATATTTGTGATCTGAACCCCTAATTTAACCATAAAATTTGATATTTGTGATTTGAACCCCTAATTTAACCATAAAATCTGATATTTGTGATCTGAACCCCTAATTTAACCATAAAATTTGATATTTGTGATCTGAACCACTAATTTAACCATAAAATTCGATATTTGTGATCTGAGCCCCTAATTTAACCATAAAATTCGATATTTGTGATCTGAACCCCTAATTTAACCATAAAATCTTGATATTTGTGATCTGAGCCCCTAATTCAACCATAAAATCTGATATTTGTGATCTGAGCCCCTAATTTAACCATAAAATCTTATATTTGTGATCTGATCCCTAATTTAACCATAAAATCTGATATTTGTGATTTGAACCCCTAATTTAACCATAAAATCTGATATTTGTGATTTGAACCCCTAATTTAACCATAAAATCTGATATTTGTGATGACCCCTAATTTAACCATAAAATCTGATATTTGTGATCTGAGCCCCTAATTTAACCATAAAATCTGATATTTGTGATCTGAGCCCCTAATTTAACCATAAAATTCGATATTTGTGATCTGAGCCCCTAATTTAACCATAAAATCTGATATTTGTGATCTGAGCTTCTAATTTAACCATAAAATTTGATATTTGTGATCTGAGCCCCTAATTTAACCATAAAATTTGATATTTGTGATTTAAACCCCTAATTTAACCATAAAATCTGATATTTGTGATCTGAGCCCCTAATTTAACCATAAAATCTGATATTTGTGATCTGAGACCCTAATTTAACCATAAAATCTGATATTTGTGATCTCAGCCCCTAATTTAACCATAAAATCTTATATTTGTGATCTGAAGCCCCTAATTTAACCATAAAATCTGATATTTGTGATCTGAGCCCCTAATTTAACCATAAAATTTTATATTTGTGACCTGAGCCCCTAATTTAACCATAAAATCTGATATTTGTGATCTGAGCCCCTAATTTAACCATAAAATCTGATATTTGTGATCTGAGCCCCTAATTTAACCATAAAATCTGATATTTGTGATCTGAGCCCCTAATTTAACCATAAAATTTGATATTTGTGAT